CCGCCCCCGCCTCCCCCTTCGTTCGCACCGATCTGCCGACCATTCGCTCCGCCACCTCCGTCCCCCGGCGGGGGTGTGGTGCTGCCGCAGCCGACTTCCTTCAGCATCTCGCTTCACGCGCGCCGCTACGACGCATGCCGTTGCATTCTGCAAGTTATCGCATGTCTTCGTAACATTTGCAAACATTATTTGAATGAAGCGTGCCAAGGACACGAAGAAAGTTACGATCAATTATTGTGTTTATCCAAACAGAACAAAAAGTCATGTGATGACAAAATGATTCTAAAATAATTATTAAAAATCACTTTTCAATTTTGTGTGTGTGACCTGTTGTTCTGACTGGGTAGTAAATTTTCCGGAAATAATCTCGAGATAAATTTCTCCGAATAATGCTCGTACAACTCGTGAAAATATGACAAAAGTTATGTCCATTTGTACTGCATATTGTACATGATTTCATGGATGATAAAACCACAGTTGTCGATCTTGGATGACTGAGGAATACATGGTACTTACATACAGCCCTTTACATGTCAACTCTTCGATTATCAAAGCCACCACAAAATACGCGTAAAGCGGTATCTACAATGAGATTTTAAGGCGTAAATCTTAAGCTTAAACCCTAAGCCGTAAGAAATTGACCAATCACAATCGAATATGAGGAAAGTAACCGACTATGATTGGTCTATTTCTTAAGGCTTAGGATTTCAGTTTAAATTTTATGTCTTAAAATCTCATTGTAGACACTGCTTATCTTTAAATTGTCATTACTTCTGTTCTGTACACACTCATTGTCAGAAAAAAAGATATAGTGGTAGCAATGAAGATGACAACTACCCAGATAACATTTGTGTTGCATAAGATATCTAAAAGACGTCTTTTAGATATCTTATGCAACATGCATGTTATCTGGGTATACAAATTTTATAATTAACTAAAATTATTGTACAAACTATAAAATAGTTTAGTTGCAACTCTCTTTATAAAATAGTTTATTCAACTATATGTACATTAACTCTACATAATATAAAACTTGTATAGTTATTCTTTATCTCTTTATAGTTGCTATATTTTTAGTTGCCTATGTCTTTTTTTCTGAGTGTATGACAAAATTAATTTGTAAAGAACAGAATTGGCAAGTAAAGTATTAATAAGAGTGATTTTTATGAAATTTTTTTTAAAGGTTAGAATAGACTTGATTATCACTTGACTATCACTCCATTCACTTAGGTATCAGTCCATTGGATTTCTTTCTATAAAAAAATATTAATAACATTTTCGGTCCGAAAGGGTTTGCACTAACCTGGATTGGATTAATTACGTCACATGTTCCACTATTGGTCGACGTTACATGCTCTACTAATAGCAGAGCATACGTCATTAATCCAATTCAGGTTGATGGTAAACCTCTTCAAATCGAAAACGCTATAAGATATTTTTTAAATATAGTAAGTTCTCAAAATGGGTTATTTCTCACTTTATACTCTTCAACTCACAACTTTTTATTCTGCACTTAAATAAATAAACATATTAAGAAGTTATTAAAATGAATATAAAACTAAAATATAAGTTCGTTTACTTTTCGTTCTTTGAACAGCTCTTTCAATCCTTAGAAAAAATAATTTTAAAGATCAATCTTGTTACATACTTTATTTATCAAATTGCAATTCTAATATTTTATAAAGTAATCTTATTATGTAAAAAACAAGAGTTTAAAGCTATATGACGTTATAATCTTATATGTATAATAAACTGCATTTTATAATCACGAATGGAAAAAAGTCTTTCTGTCATCGTAAGAATATAGAGACTTGAAAATCAAGGATCGGGATCCTTGAGAGTCGCTTCGTGTGGTGCAGGTGCGTTCATTCAAGACACGCTATCCAGGTGACACGAACAGAAACCGATGAATGAAAACAATTCGTAGTTGACGGTAATGAGCCCCTTTAACAAACGACTCTCGCCTTCAAATTGCGCTTTACGCGAACGCGAGATGATATCTCTCGCTTACGAAGTTACCGACGGATCATCCCTTCCACGTTGGATTCCTTTATACCAATCTTGAAGGAAATACATTTCTATTTCCAAATACTCTTGTATAAATCGAAACTATATTAAGAGATAGTTGATTTAAAAAATTGATGAGATTTAGATTTAGATTTAGACGAAATAGATTTAGATTGAAGCACATTTAAAGATGAAAAAAACAGACATTTTACTTCAGAGTAAAAAAATTGAGTAAAAAAATAGTTTTTATAGTTAAAAAATACTTTTCTTTTATCAAAAATCTAAAA